GGAGCATCAGACATGGACGCTGCGGCCGGCACTCCAGCAGCATCTGGAGTGCACCGGAGGCCCTCGAGGACCCTACGGTTGGTGGGGGAAAGCCCGCAGAGAGCTCTGGCCCCGGCCCCTTGGCCCTGCCTGCCTCCAGACTTTTGTGTGAGGAAAATTAATTTTACCTTGTTTAAGCCATAATTATTTTGAATATCTGTTAATTAGCAGCTGATCTGAATCCTAAGTGAGAGACTTCATTTCATAATTTCCTCTTGCAGGACATTGTATCTGACCTTCCTCTAATTCTAAGTCATCTATCATTCAGATTCCTCCTAGTTTCATCAAAGATGAACTTCTTGTTTCTGTTTCTTACATTGAATAATTTTTAAGACAAAATAAAAATCAGAAAGGCTTTTACCTATCATCTTAAAAACAAACTTTACCTTCTAATCTTATTTCCTACCTCATCCAGTTACACACAGTGAATCATGTTCAGTATTTCTCTTTAAGCTCCGTAATTTCCTACTCTCTGCTTTTGCTCATGACTTCCATTCTAAGGAAACCTCTCTCCCCGTGACTGTTCCTAAGCTCAAAGTATACCTGCTTTTTAAGGTTCAACTCACAGACCACGGCCCCCAAGGTCTTGCCCACTGCCCCTGACAGGAGGCAACACCCCCTCACGTCATTTCCTCCTGGACGTCTACCTCGTTTACTGGGCTCCTTGAGGTCGGGGGCCATGTGCTTAGTTCTCCATAATCCCTTGCAGTGTGTGGCCTTTGAGTCTGCACATAGCTGTTACCCATGAAATATGTTACTGTGTATCAAGATTTGTTTTCCAGAAATATTATTTGGCAAAAATATTGCTTCTTGTGTCTATGCCCCACAATTTCACAAAGGAAATGTTGAGTTTCAGGATCCTAACAAATTCACCCCAAGAAAGCAACATTGGTACCAAATTCCATCAGGGCCCTACAGCAGACCTTAACCTATGATCATTGGCTACACAAACCTGGAGTCCTTAGGGTCTTTTGATCAATCAAGTCTGCATATTGAAATACCCTATGGTATTTTGTACAGAAAAGCTTTCTAATCTTATGTAGTAAACCTTCTTTAGATAAAACTAACTCATTTAAAACTGTTTCTCTGCCATCTTAAAATGGTCACTCAGACATCATGAGAATAATTTTATTTTTGAAAATATGAGTGCAGATGAGGCTTGTGCTTATCAAAAACCTTCAAGAACTGAAAATATCATGATCACTGCTTCATTATCCTATGATACCTCTGGGTGGAATATTTCCTTCTCTTGATAAAGGGAGAGATAAAATTATTTGCACAGCGTCATAATGAGAAATTTAATGAGAAACAGATCCATGGCTTCTTGAGATCCCTGGTCAATTTGGCCAGGTAAGCCACAAAGTAAGAGACTGATATGTTGGACCAAATGAAAATCTGAAACTTCTAAATAATTTAGGGACATGATTTTAAAATACAAGAAAGAGGCTGGGAGAAAATATAAGCGACATGCATAATGGCGGCTTCCAATCCCTGTTAACACGGCAAGTCCTTGGATGATGTCATTTTGTTCAATGTTGTTTCCTTGTAATGTTGATAAGATGCTGTAGGAACTTAGCTCTTGTATAAACCAAACAGCCTAGGATAAAACTGGTTCCATTATACATCCTTTTGCCTTTTTAAAGTTGCAGGAGCTATCCATGGTGTTAAGTGAGGACTCACCGCAGTCATAAGGTACTTCTCCAAACCATACGAAAAGGGACAAAAGGCTTTATAGAAAAATGGGCAAAGGAATGAATAGACAGGTCATAGAAGAAAATGTGACAAAAGGTTCAATTTACTAGGCATTAGAGAAACATGAATTAAAACAAAGAAATCCCCCACTCCCTGGCCTTTTTTTGAGTGGCAGTATAGTATAAAGATTAAGTAAAAAGATAGACTCTAGAGCCAGACTTCTTGGATTTGAAGCCCAGTTCCAGTTCTGCCATTTCCTAAGATGCATGACCTTGTGCAATTTTTACTAATTTCTATGTGTCTTTTCTCATCTTTGAAATGAGGTCATGAGAGTGACTACCTCATAGGGTTATTCAGATGATTAAATGAGTTAGTTTATGTAAAAGCTTAGAACAGCGTTTGGCACAAAGTAAACACTATGTACATACTTATTATTACTATTTGTCTATCATATTGGTCACATGCAAACAGCTGTTTGAAGGATAAAAGTGATCTTAATCTGTTGGTGGCCATGAACATTAATACAGCTTTTTTGAAGAACAATTTGTTAAGTGCATATTCTGTATCTAGTTGTTCTATTTGAGAAATCTGACCTAATCCCATAGGGACAAAAAGGTATCACAGAGGTTCAAAAATGTTCATTACATTTCTATTTTGTGTCATAGGAATAGAAACAATTTATATATCAATAGATAGGGAAGTGAATTATGTATATTACAAAAAACTGTAGCATACTAACAAGGCAGTGGTTAAACAAAATGTAGTTTACATGTTCTGACATACATACAAAGTTGTTCAAAATATTTGTAATAAAAAACAAGTCACAATCCCATCTATAGGAAAGCGAGCAAAACATACATAAGTGAACATTTATGTATGGATTTTTAAAGCAGTTTGAAAATATACAAATTGTTAATGAGGTTATTTATATGGGGAGATGGCAAAGGTGAAGAGGGACTTTCACTTTTATTCTGTACTTACATAATGAAACTTTAAAAAAAACCAAAAATATATGTGTATTTTACTGTATAATTAAAAAACTGAAAAATGGGCTGCTTACTAGGTTTACCTAGAGTTTCCAGAGATTTGACACAAGAATAGAAATGATTGGCTACTTAGATTTAGACATTATCTGCCATTTGGAAGAAATGGCCTGACTTCAGGAACTGATGCACATGACCCAAGAAAACCAGGGATCTTTGGAAAATCTTTGGTCACACCAGTAAGGGTGCCAATTGAAAGAATTCAGCTGAGTCATATCTTGTACATTAATTCTATTTATCTGTGCCTTCAGATGATTTGAAGGCAAGAGAGCCGATTTCAAAAGATTGTAATACATCTCAAACTCTTGTGAGTACATCCCTATACAAAAAGAGGAAAGTTTTTGAAAAACTTCTGTCTAGAAAACCTCTATGACTCAAATGGATTTTACAAATAAAAAAGGGTTGTCTAATACTTGAGGTTTACTAGTGCCTTTTTATTATGCTGTATTCAGGACAGAGAAATACTGCTATTGATTGAAGCAGAACAGCATGGAAGGCGCATCTAATGAACTCAGATCCCTGGCAAGGCAGCAGCCACACAGTAGCAATGTAAGAGACTCTGGAGGATATAATCTTTTGGTAATTCAATCCAAGAATTCCCGTAGGCTGCCTAAAGCAAATGGAATAGAAAAGAGCACTTTGTCTGAACGTAAGAAAGTGATATTTACTGCAAGTTTAAAAAATAAAGTGCTCTTCCTATAAAAACCATCTCTTTGCCTCCCACATTTACACATGATGGGCAGAGCTTAACATACTGGCTATTGAATTGGGAGAGCTTTGGTTGCTGTACAGCATCCTGGTTCTTAAAAACCAATATTCTGAAAAAATTGTCATTCCATTTTATTAAAACTTATTTATAAAATGTTTTTAATTCTTACAATGATGAAAGTTGTAGAATAATAGGAACCTAAAGAAAAGATATAAGAAGAAAAAGATTGGTTTTTAAAAATTACCTTCATACAAAGAGGTATAAAAGAGATAATGAACAATACAATTACACTGCAAATTGAATAGATTTGCTAATTTCACAGAGCACCTGTAATGTGTTCCAGGGATAAGAGGAGCAGATAAAGCAGCAGTTTCTTATCAACTCAGTATGGGGGTCACGTTTTTCATCAACAAAGTAAGAAGAGTAACCCTTCCTGGCAAGTCTATAATCTGCCATTACAGAGATTATAATCTCTATTTCTGAAGTTTGTTATGCAGATAACTGAAAACAATGGATTTACTGAAACAAAAGAATCTCAAGTACAAAGAAGAGTATCAAATATGAAAGGTAGGTATGAGTTCAAATCCAAGCTCTCCTAGCTCTGTGACGTTGGGCAAGTCTCTCAATCTCTTTTGCCTTAGTTCCTCATCTCTAAAATGTGGATAGCAACAGTGGTGTCTAGGGTGGTATTACAGGAGAGTATATTAAGAATGCTTGGTACATAGGTGGGCACTCGATAAATGTAGGCAATGGTGGTGATATGCCAAGATACAGAAAGTACTATTTCCCAAATTTTATACATTAATGATGGAATATGAAGTATTCAAAATGTGTCCATCCTAGCATACATGCAATGATTTTGGAAAGTCGTTATACTAGTGAGCTCTGTGCTTGGGGTTGACTTGAGCTGGCAGTCCCAATTATTGAAATCCAGGCTTCCTTTCCATACACGTCTTCCAGCTGTCACTGCAAAGCAACAAGACCAACTCCACACTCCGTACACAAAGAACAACACAGCAGTGAAGATGAGGTACACTGCCCGAGTCAAATGCCATTTTTGCTACTTATGAAACTGTGTCACCTTGTGCAAGATAACTCAACCTCTTATAGGACTGCAGGCGGTTACCTTACTATCTTACAGGATTATCATAAAGATTGAACAAGATAATGTGTATAGTGCTCATGAAAAGTGGTAGCTCTCAGCACCATCATCCCTTATGGTCATTCTACAACAGAAAGGCGTATCTCTGACCACTAGACTTGACTCTATAGAAACTCTTGACTCTGTGTATCCATGTACTCTCCAATATTGTAGGTTTCTTACACAGGCTGGGTATTTGAGTCAACATTGTGGACTTTGCCTCCCTCAATATGAGCAAGACAGACAAAAAAGTAAATTTGCATTGGATATTTCTAATGATCAACAATGCCCAATTATCAAAGTTAGGTAAGACCAACATGCCTTATCAGAAGCCACTGTAACTCCTTTTTCTGTTTTAAGCAAGTTAATGTCCTACCTGTCCTCTGTATTGCGCAGGGATGGAAGCCGAAAGCTCGTGTTTCTGTCCAGCTTTGATTGGCTTTTGGTTCTCTTGATGGAGCCTTTCAGGCGCTTGCTGAAGAAGCCCTGGAACGAGAAGGAGATGGGATGGGAGAGGGGACCAGAAGGGAACCCTGCTGTCTCCCTACTCTGCTGCGCTATCTTTGCCAACAATGTTCAGATTTTTACAATGATGACAAGAAACAGAGCCCAGCTTTTCATTTTTTAATTTGTAAATAATAGTTGCTTGAAACCACGCGGTAATAAGACCAAAATTTTTTCTTCTATCATAATTGGGATAATTATACTTTTTGACGGCACTGAATTTCTTATTTCTTAATAGTTTCTATACTAGCAATGGTAGAGAAATGAACTCTAATAATAGATTTTTAAAAAACATAATATAGAAAAATATACTATTTCTATGAAGATGGTGTCAGCAATTTCAATAGAAATGGTATCCAGTAATTTCCAGAACTAAGTTAAAGGAAAACAGGAAAGGAGAATATCATGTACAAAGGCCTTGAGATCAGAAGGCAGTTGGTGCATTGGAAGAATTAAAAAAAAAAAGAAAGTTAAATAATCAGTGCATAGTAATATGCTGGTGGTCTCAAAAGCGTTAAAATTAGATGTGATATTTATAAAATTAAGTTTTAAATGTAGATGAACTATTTTAAAATGAAATAGTTATCACTTACCACTTATGAAACCACCAAAGCATCTAAGCTTCAGAAGAATAAAGTCCTTTATAGTTTTTGGCCTCTGCTTGCCTCCTGCCACTTTCCACCAAACTATCTAGAGCTCCTTGAACATCTTCTTGGTCCTAATGCCTCACAAATAATGGGCTTTCAATAAAAGCTGGTTGGATAAAAGAATAAATGCAAGAATGAATGATGATGGTCACTGCTTTCAAGAAGAAATTCTATTGTTGGTAGATGAAAGGACATCTTATAAAAGTACATCAAAATGCCTTGAGAAAATGTTGTAATTCAAAGAAAAGTATTTTGACACATGGAAATTAACACCGTGACATGATTATTATTTTATAAAAGCTGTACCCAGTAAATACTTCTATAAGGAAAAAAAATACTAGGCCAGTATTAGCATGTCAAATCTTTTATGTTCCTTTAGTTACCGCCATACCCACTGCTTTGGGGTGAAGAATGTATTAATCAGGATAAGCTAGGTTATGCTTACCTAGTAACCCCATAATCTTAGTGGCAATAAACATGCTACATGTCTATAAATGGATCAGTTAAGGAAGTTGAGGGCCCAACTTTAGGCTGTCCTCACACAGGGACTTCGGCTAAGGAAGGCTCAATCATGTGCTTCTGTAGTTGTCACGGAAGGATAAAGGCAAAGTGACAAATTATATACCAGCCCTAAATCTTCATGCCACTCCCGGTCTCGTTTCATTGGACAAAAGGTCACATGACCACACACAATTTTTACAGAGAAAGGATGTATAATCCTACCACGTATCTAGAAAGAGAACTGGACATATCAGTGAACAGTAGAGTGGACTACCACAGTGCTTTTCTATGCCAAGTGTTTTGCAGACACACAGGCACTGCTTCTTCCATTGGAAAAAACAGAAACAAAAGTTTAAATCAGAAGTAGAACTATTTTGTTGACTAAAATAAATAAATGTTTATGTCATTTCTGTTGTTCTTATACCCCAAAGAATAAGGGTAAGAATGTCACATAGACAAATTCCCTAGGCTATTTTTTCATTCAGGTTTACGGAGACTGATGAGTGGGAAGAAGACAAGGCTGTTTATCAAAGCACTATATTTCTTGGAGACAGGCATTTGCCTGGTCTCCTGTACGATTGCAGCGTCATTAGGGACGGTCACAGTCACTTGCTCTCCAAGGCAAAGGCTTGTTTACTACTTTCTCTGGCTCAGTGAGGACTAGTCACCCCACTGGCTCAGATCTAGGTTTACAGAATTCTATTAGGACTTATTTATAGTTGGTTAAAAACCACTGGCCTAAGTTGAGATCCAGCTTAGGGCCTGACCAAATACCATATACAAATACATTCCTAACAAAAATACAGTTAAGCAGTTAACTGAGAATGTACTAGTAGCTGTTCACTTACACAGTACTTTAGCTTGACTCTTTGTGGCACTTATAGCATACTTTATATTTTAACCCATTTATTTTATGTCTACTTGTTGTAATGCACTGTACCAGCTGTTGGAAAAAATTCAAAGATAAAACAGGCACAACTCTACCCTCAAGGAGCTTATATAATATAGGATCTAGAAATGAAATATAAATATATGACACAATTAGGAAGGTACATGTTCTTAATGCCTAGTATATTTAATCACAAAGTAAAAGTTACCCTATTTCTCTGAATCTAGCATATTACCAATTGTCACTCCATTATTTTATGTATGCTAAGAAAAAAGCAGCCAATTAGACTACAACACAATGCTTTATCACTTAGACCTTTTATCTTATATTACAGATATTTTTTTAAAAACTTATTTAGGCAGGTTTTGTCACATACCACACAGCATCTATATAAGAACATATGCAAAATAAATTGGGTGAGGTACTCCTAATGCTTCTTCAGCTTCTGAATGGCTTTTTGACTCAGAGGAATTGTTCATGTTTCTTCACAGACAATCATGCTGTATTCTTTTAGGAATGTTGATGACAGAGCATATCCTTAAAGAATAATCTACACACAGAGCTGTTAAAAATTGAAAAGATGAATTGATGAAACATGGTATTATTTTAGAGAGGTACATAGGAAATGATCTCAGGAATTCAGAGAAAGGAGAGGATGCATCATCTGGAGAAATATGCGGAAGTTATGGGGAAGATCCGAAGGGCAGGCTGGATTTGGGTGGGGGAGCGGTGAAGCACAGCGTGAGGAGCGGGAGCGGAGGTAAGGACCCGTGGCGCACACAGGGAGTAGGTTAGCCTGGCTGGGATATGATTAGGAATAAAGGAAAATAAGATTAGAAAGGTAGTCCATCCAGCTATTAATGTATAGTTATTGTTCTCATTGGTCCTTAAACTTTTGAGGGTAAATATAAGGTTAAATATCTATCTTAATGTCTACCATAGTGTTTAAAGCTTAGTTAGTGCTTAATAAATATCTGATAACTATGTGTATGAAATTATGGTTGTTTTGGCAACACAGATAAAGAAAAGTTTAAGACAGCCCAGCGATATTTCATGGAGGTACAATAGTAGAATCTGCTATACAAAATTCTGTTTCTCATCTTGATATGAGTGAAACATAGTTTTCACCTGAGAATACAGTTTAGCTTAGAGCCCTTCCTGACAGAAGTTCTCCATTCCTCCCTGCCCAATATTCGGCAGTCCCCAGGCCGAGGTGCTGGGGTTTTCCAAGCTTACCATGACAGCTTCCAAACCTTTACTCCATAAAGTAATTTTATTCCATAAAACACTGGTTTGGAATAAAGCATATTCTTCGAGGTTCACACCATCTTGATTTAGCTTCCTTTATTATTCTTTGCTGTTCTCATGCATTAATCTCTCCTTCACTTTTTTATCCATGAAGGGCTTTAGGCTCTAATTTGCAATATTTCTGTCTCTTTACTGCTAACATCATGCTAGTAAGTCACCGGACAGCGATCCATCTAATATTCTAGCTGCACAATTCCTTGACCCTAAAGTCCTTATCCTCCTCTCCAGCTACCCACTCCTAGAGCCACACCTTCGATACTAACATCATTCAGATAATCACCTTAACACCTTACACAGTGCGATTCTTCTCTCTGACTTCTCTTCCTGACCATGGAACTCTTTCTTCCAGTACATCTGCTCCTCAACTTCAGGATACCTCCAGTCTCTTGACTACCCCATTTTATCCCTGTTGGTGTTTTCTTCTCTATCCAACCTGGACTTCGTGGCCAATCGGCTACAGCTATTCAATTACCAACAACCTCCATTCTCTTCGTGATCAACTACTAAAATCAAAACTAGATCGACATTTAAATTCTGGTCCGATGGCCAAGCTGTTCAAGAAGGCCACATAGGTAAACACACTGATGCTACTAAAAATTCACTATCTCTAAGTTAGGCTTGGCTTCTACTACGCTTCTGCCCTGGACCAAGCATGCACTGCACCTTCCGGCAACAGTACCCGCTCTGGAAAATCTCGGAGTGGAGGGCATGCACACTTGCCCATCACCTTCTTCTGCGCAATTCCTAAGTGCAGGTCACTGCACTTTGTGCCATGCAGTTCTTCTGGCTGTAGGTCACTGGACTGGGGCGGAAAACTGACAGAAAGTTACTTACAAGAGTGGTCCTGGTTGGAGTTCCGCCCATAGGATATGGTTCCACCTGGAGGCTGCTGACTGCTCTAGCCTGGCCCCTGGCCTTGCCCTGCTTCGTGCTGTACATGCCAGCACCTCTGCAGGCCTCCGGCTCTCTACGCTGGCCGCGCATCTCTGCTGTTGCTCACATTCCCTCCCTCGTCCCTGGCCAAGTCACTCTCTCAGACTCAGCTCAGGGATGATCTCCGGTGTGTCTTTTTTGACATGTCCTGACCCTGCTGTAGATTAGGCGCTCCTCTTCTGTTTCCAAATACCTATAAATAGCACTGGCCTTGCTCTTAGCCCACTGCATGCCTACTGGTGTGCCAAGTCTCCTGTACTAAACTCAGAGCTCCTCGGGGCATGGATTAAACAGCCTTTGCGTTCCCAGGGTGGGCCTAAGAGCCGGCCTTCAGGAGGGGCTCCGTGAATGCTTGTAGCACTGAAGTAAAATAGGCAGTGGAATGGATAAAAGCCACCAAGCTGTTTTTGCTACAAGTGCCATCCTAGAAAGAGCACGGACCTCTGAATCAGAAAGTACGGCTGCAAGTCCGGGCTCTAATTTCTCATAGCTGAATGACCTCAGACAAGTTGCAACTTCTAGGTTTCTGATTTCTTATTTGTAAAGTGAGGATTTTAAAAAATCCTTTTTTCCTAGAACCATTCCAGAGAAAGATAGCTGAACACAAAAGTACTTTTAAAGTAATAGAAAACGGGTACTTGTAATTATTAACTGAATGTGGACCTAAGGTGAGACACTGCGCAGGCTAGGTGAAACCATGATTT